TGTGTCTGAGCTTGGTCATTGTCAACGTCCTTGCCTATTTGTTCTCTTCTATATTGTTATCAACTTAGGATAATAACCCCGGCTGTTACCACCAATCTGGATTCATAGATGTGCAATTCCCGAACTCACTCATGTGAATAATGTATTCATCTTATAACGCTGTATTTTAGTTTCAGGACAGTGATGGTTGGAGTGGAATAGTTGCCACGAGTAAAAGTAATGAACCATTTAGCAGTTATACTGCAGTGTGTTGCAAAGCATCTCTTGGTATCTCTCTCTCCCTACCCATCTGTAGCAATAATCATGTAAGACACTCTGAAATAGTGACACAACTGAGTGACTATACCAGACATTAAAATCTAGTTAAAGTTACCGTACCATTTCTGACATTGACCTCATTAATACCTCTGTATCACATCTCACTCTTAAAGACAGAGTGCCTTTAGATAGTTATATTTCTTTGGTTAGTATAAAATACAGGAGTGAAGAGAAAATAACCCGTTCTAGTCGTGATGAGGAATACAATAACCCATCACCATAGCAAAGAGCATATTTTATTTGAAAAATACAAATAAAAGATTTTGTCCCTTTTGTTTATTAAAAGAAAATGTAACAATTTCTATCAGTAACACTTGCATAAGGAGATATATTTTACATTACTCTTTTCTTAAAAAAAATATAGATATTTTTGGAGACTTTGGAAAAATAAGGATGGCCCAATACTTGCAACACGCTCCTAGTGTTCCTTAGAATTCACCGTGCCATTTATATGTACCGCAAGTACAAGGTCTTAGCACTTTATAATCCACAAAGTAACCCTAGGCAGCATAATTTCATATTCATCTCTGCATTTAGAACATTTCCTTTGTTACTCTTTGTGTGAGTCTATGAGTTTGGTTAACTCCAGATTCGTCCAATGTTTAGATTTTCTAAAGGATGATTTTACAAAGTCTTATACCACAGAAATTTTGTCATTCCTTTTAAATACCAGTGAGAATATTTTCACATAGACATTTTCTTGCAGTATTCACAATTTAAACAACTGCATCAATTAGAATTCAAAACCAAAAATGTTTACAATTATTTTGGTTTTCTAAGAAGAATGCAAAAAATAAAGTGCATAACAGAGTGAAATTACTTTCAACTTCCACAGTCTTCTGTGTGTATGTAATAAATGTCAACACAGATACACAAATTAATTTTTTTTCAATGTATGAATCTTAATCTAATGCCAGTTGAATTCAAGCTCTGCTTTGTCTTTACAGTGTATTAAATTACAGTTTTGACTGCTTTTAGGTTGACAATATATTTTTACATTTTAATATACAGACCATTTGCTCAGATGATGTGTCAAGATTACAGCACACTGAGTGCCCTCACGAATACAAGAAAGAGGGTTTGTTTGAAGGAATGTGACTAATTAATTTGATGCAAATGTACTATTAGTTGAGTAGCTGTTGCAGAAATAAAATTGTAAATCAGAAAGCCCTTAAGCACCACTTTGTATGTGCCATTTAACTTTACTCAGTATCTTCCAGTTTAAGTAAAACTGGCAATTTTCCATGTTTAGTTGTTAAGGGGCAAAAAGATTACTATTTAGGCTAATAGGAAAATGCTTGAGAATTCGAGTACACAAAAGATCCATGAAACTTTAAGCAAAGACTATACAGTCAGATTTAACCATAAACTAGGAAAGAGTTTCCCATGATACTTTCATTAAATGTATACTTCATTTAAATCAGCAATGCTACATACAAAATGATCATGCTCTCCACGGCATACAGTGTTAATTTTCTTCCAGTTTAATCAATGTTAACATGGAAATTCTCCAATATGGTTTGTTTTTTTCTCTAGGATGCAAAGGACCAAAGGAAAAATTTGTAAAATCAGGAAAATAAATCTGTAATCCTGTTCTTTCTGCACCGTGAGGTCTTATTCTGTGGCCCTGAAGATTTAATATTCTGCTATTTGTCATGCAAACAACACGGCACTGTGATGTGTGTTTGAGTGAAAAACGGTAAGCACAGCAAGCATGCAGACATATCATGACAGAAAAGCACATTTGGCGAAAACTGTGGATAGGACATACCAATCAGGACACACCACAGCATCACTGAAGCAGCATCTCAATAACCCTGCAGAGTTTTAAAGGATTCAGAATTCCTGGGGCTGTGGGTACAACGCATGTGCTGTACAGCAGCAAAGAAAGCACCAGGAATGGTGAAAAAAGGACCCTAATTTCTCTGAGATATGACCTCCTTCTCTCATTACCTTAATCAGAACATGAGCATAAGGAGTGATTATTTGCTTATGTCACTGTACTTCTGTTGGCTTTAAGCCTGAATGTTCTATGAAGCAAATAAAAAGAAAATAATGGTGGGAAAACTGCTTAAAGCACAAAATACAATTGATTTTCCCTGTTTTGGTGTAGGGCCAGAGGGAACAGACATAAAGATTACTAATACCTTGCTCTCAAAACTATAATACAATAATGAATGCCATTTTCATGCAGATGTGGTACAAAGTATTATAGCCCATGGTACTACTAATGCTGATTGATTTTCTTCTTAGCACTCTACTCATACAATATAAAAATTTAGATGTTAGCATACAGCTAGTGTGATCTAAATCAAAAGGAAATTTCTCCTCATAAAATCCTTCACTAGTGTTTCTTCATTTGTAACAAAACTTAAACATATTCTAACTCTACCTCCAATGAAGACAACACATAAACCATTCTCAGCTTGAGTATAATTCTTACTGCATTAAAGCATCTGTTTAACTTTACAATGAGAATTTCTCCTTAAATGTATTTCTAGAAGATTCTGTATTTGATAAAAATTAAAAAAAAAAAAAATCTGAACACAGATTATTAAACTACTTTCAAATGGTCAGCAGAACATTTTAGGGTTCAAGTTTTCTTCCCTTCTAAATTTCCTCGTGGGTTCAGATGTTGACAAAGGGAAACATCACTATTTTCAAAAACAGTCTAGTACAAAACAATTCTGAAACTACAGTGCAATTAATACTTTTTAGACTTTGACACGTTTTTTACAAAGTTACTTGCTAATTTTTCCAAAAGGCTGTTTAAACTAAAAGCAGTCAACAACATATCAGGAAAGAGTTCATTAAAAAAAAAAAAAATCCTTAAAGTAGAACTGATCGAAAGTCTAAGAACCACCCAGCCCCACAGTAAAGAAGGGAAGGTTTAATAATCTGGTTTACCTCTGTGGCCCACAGTAGGTCAGCAATAGGTACAGACCCTGCTTGAAGGAGCAAAATGTACTTCCTTCTCTACTAAGTTGAAGGTAATTAACACCTAAAATTCATAGGAAGGAATCTAGTGGAGTGTACAGATCTGTATCACTCTCCAGACAAGCCCAGAGAATAAAAAACAGTATACAACTTCCACTCTGGATAGCTCCTCTATCACATGCATATTGCAACAAGTCCACTTTCCTAAGTGGAACTACAATTTTCTTAGAAGCAGAAGTCTGTAACAGTTGGTGAGCCTTATAGTCATAATCTTTCATGGGATATTAAGTGCTCCTGGTCCTCTCGTAGTATTATCACAAAACAGACAAACAAAAGGTTAAAAGTTTCAAACAAAACAAAGGAAAACATAAGAATCTGCTGGATTAAGTTTTAAGTAATCTGCAATATTAAGCAGAACTGTTAAGCAGTTCTGCAATGCTAAAAACATTACTAACATATGTTGATTTCTTACTAACATAAGAAATCAATTTATTTAATCGATAGGAACCTCAATAATGGTACGTTTTAATTTTTTCTTCCACCACTGACTTAAAATGTTTCTGTTCTCATGATGCTTGAAATAGGGAGAAAAAAACTCTGCTTAGATGGAAATTATTTTCAGAAAAATTAAATATTGGTAGATTAAACTAAAAATAAAAAAAAAATCATCATCGTATTTTCTTTGTCACAATTTTCTCTATTCCAATGTCTTACCAGCAGCTCTCTTTTGCTTTTAGTCACACAGGAAAATAGAGAAACATTACGATTAAGAACTCTGTGTTCTAAACTGACTGTTGCAGCTCCTGGACTCCAACCGGCAAAAGACTTGAAAAGCTTCACATATTGACATAAGTGAAGCACAGTGAACCAAACAACTGCGTAGTTTAATGGTGCTACCATTGTTGCTTTTATTGAAAGAGCCTATGCTTCATCTGCTTCACTGCATAAAGAGTACTTTGGACCCATTCCATTTAAATGCATCATGTTCCCATGAAAAGACAAAAAGAAAAAGCACAACACTGGAAACAACAGTTCTTCTAGCACGCAGTAACAGAGCAGGTCTGGGGTTATGGGCAAGAGCTATGTTTGGGCTAACAGCTAATGATGCCCTCCCTCTGTTAGATGGTTATGAATGAAAATATTATGAAGGACATAATGAGGTGACATCATCTTAATGGAACCTGCTAATTCAATAAGATTAAATTATCAAAGGACCATTTATTTAAGAGGACAGGTGTGGCTTATCCTTTCTGTAAAGGAAACAGATTGTTAGCACTTCTCACACTGGTAGTAAACCCCATTGGCTACCTCACATTGGGATCACAAGGCTTAGAGCACAGCTAGAAATGCAACACCACAACCACCTGCAAGAGGTTTGCTCCTCCTTTAGCTGTCTCCCTAAACAGGCATGGCCATAAACTTACTGTAGCTTGGAGATGTTAAGCACATTGCAATAAAAATGTCATTGCTTGGCTTTACTTTAGATATTGTTACAGATACGGTACCACGGACTTTATTGAGCAATTTAAAAATATACACAAGGGACAATAGCTTCTTTTTTTCTGTATTTTTCAGAATTTGACTTTCTTCCAATTGGAGAACCCAGTTTCAAATATGAAAAGGGCACTTGTTCTACAGTAACTGCATACACTCGCTCAGTTCCAAGTACTGTATTCATTTTTTGTTACCATTGCCGTCATTATATCTCCAGTCGTTTAGGAATTTCTCTGTTCTGGGAATTACAACTAAGTTGTTCTTTCTGATTCTATTTCCCCATAGAGTTCAGCTAGCTTCTTGAACTCAGGTCCCCAGTCTCCAAGGTAATTATAATCCTGGTCAGAGTGTGTTGTGGCTGAATCCAGAGAGCTGATAGATCCAGCTTCTGATCTATGACCCTCGTAGGCATAAGTCTGTAGGGAGTCATACGGGGGCACGCTGGGGTCCAGATCAGCTTCTGCCAGTCTTTGTTTAATGAACTCCTGAACATCTATACTGTCAAGGCTTGAGGAGGGATGATGCCTGGGTGCAGACTTCACTTCAGGACGAACATCCCTCCGGTATTTTAGCTCCTCAGCAGCTGATGGATTCCGCAGTGCTGTGATGTCAAATGCTTCCGTGTCTTCTTCTCCACCACCCTCATCATCATATGTCACAACATTTTCCCGGACATCTTCTTCTGAAATGATCAAGGGCTCCTTCTTGCTACGTCTTAGGGTAATGAAAAGGACCACAATTGCTAGAGAGAAAACTGCAGATATTAGATTAGGTTTAAAGTTTCCATCTGAAGCAAGTAGATATATTCTAAAGAAATAGCAGTTACTACATTACAAATACAGACGTGTTATATTTTCAGATTACTACTGATATTTGGGATCATTACGTCAGGCACGTGTCTGTAACAGAGGGTCACCAAACCTGTCCCACCTAGAAAAGAGTGTACTTATACTCCCTCGCAAGCAATGCCTTTGTTGTGTAATGTGTTACCTGAAGATAGATTATTGTATGCCTGGAAAGCACCCATGAAATCCATACAGCTGTGTTTTGACATAGCAACATGCCAAAGTGCAATAAACTGAGACCATACAATTAAAGGGAAAATTAATAATGCTGTACTGAAACAACAAACTTCCAATACGGCCTGGTCTTCCAAAGGGTCAGTAAAGAGCACTCTTCTACTGTATATTTTCCTTGCAGTGACTGCTAGGGTTTCTTGGGCCAATAATGAAATCCACTAGTTGGATTATTAGGGATCTCATAAAGGACATGAAAGGGGGTAACATTCTTTCAGTTAAATGAGAAATTGGTAACTAAGGCTGATGTTTTCAGAAGCATTGTTAAGGGCTTTCAGTGCTTCATTAAAACCAATATTTAGCACATGTATTGAATCAAAATATAAAAGGTTTCTTTTTTCTCTTATGAATATTCAATCTTGCATGATAAAATATAAGATTATAAACTAAATGTATTACTATACATTTTAAAACAGCTTTCTGACAAGGAAATTCTGAAGTAAGCTGAGAGGAAAGTAATCTTTAGAAAATGTAAATCCTTCACTAAAAAATCCTCAAAATCTCCTATGTGGGTCACACTGCAATTCCAATTATTTCTTGCTGTCTCTGTGAGAATGCAGAAAGGTACATGAATAGTACAGAGGTATATACCTAGCAAGTTGTGCCTCTGCCAGAAAAAAAAAACCACAAAAGAATCTTAACTAATGTGTAACATTAAAATTGGCCTGAGGGGCGGGGGGAAGTCAAGAGAAAACGCACTTGCAAGGACGTTTATCTAACAGAGTCATCTTATAGCCTCATATGTCCCTTGCCCCTGTGGATTATGTTGTGCATTGCCATCAGCTTATCCCAAAAAGGTAATTAAGGAATGGCTTTTGTACAGTGCTAATAGTACTTCTTACAGTGTAATGCATTTCAAAAAGCTCTCCTCATCTCTTTTCTATCATTTTTCACACTGTTCTAGACATGGAAATAGAGTCAGTGGCTTTTTGAAATCTTTCCAAATTACAGAAAAAAGATCTGCAGTGCTAATTACTTGATAACCTCTGAAAAATAATTTCTAGTGGATTCTGGATATTCATGAATGTACTTTAAAGACATTTTTCCCTATTAATTTTAGCTAAACCTTTCCCCCTTAATCACAGCTATGTGTTTCTAATTACCTCCTACTACCAGGCAGTCTATGGTTCAAAAACATGTCATATTAAAAATTTCTGCCCTGTCACATGCAGAGAGCCAGTGGAAGGACAGCATTGCCTAATATTGGAAATGACTTACCAAGAAGAATGACAACACAGAGCAGGATTGCAATTAAAGCTCCTGTGCTCAAGCCAGCGGAGGAGAGGAAAGCTTCAGCATGGCAAGTTCTCACTCTTCCATCTCTCTCACATGCACAAACCCTAATGGTGAGGGTACTGCTGCTGCTGAGAGGGGGCTCTCCACCATCAGAAATCAAAACCGGGAGGTAATAGATATCTTGAGTGGTTCGACTGTATCTCCTTCGTCTTGTCAGAATACTGGCTGTATTATCTACAATATCAAAACCAGAATATCATTTTAATGAAACAAAAAATAAAAAATGTTATTGACTGTTTAGAACACAGGGCATCTTAAAACTAGACAGTCCTAATCTGTGAAAATGCACAATCTAGAATTAAAACTTGGCAGGAAGCATTTGTGGCCAACAAAGGAAAAAGAGGAGGCAAGGAAAAATAATTAGCATTACATAAATAAGATTATTTAAGCTCATATACCTGTCTTGATGATGACTTCAGAGGCTAAATGAATGTTGACAAATATTTTGGGCCCAGTTTGCAGGTCAATTTATCCCATGTTATGCTATTGGTAATATAGAGACACTTGTAAATGTGAATACTTGGAATTCTCAGAATGTCTGTTGTAGAATTCATCCACAACATAAAATCTTGATTCTCAGAAGAATGTTAAAAGGTATTTAGTAAAAGTTAAAATAAGACTTTCATGTTTTATTAATTGTGACAGGTTTTATAGATCAAGTGAGCTTTCAGAAAACATCTGAAAGGGCAGTGGCCAAGGACTCATGATGTGGTGAGGTCAGCAGGAGGGAAGGAAGGAAGGGAGGAGGGATGGAAGAAGGGAAAGGAAGGGGAAAGAGCAGGTATTACATGTTCTGTACTGGTAGAGGTTAAAGGTAAGTAAGGAAAGGGGAGACAGTGATGTAAGATTTTGTCATTATTATGTTACCTACAGGTCCATCTGGCATATATTACAGTCAATGAGAATACTAATGTTTATTATACATACACACTGCAAGAGGAGTTGTAGGCACTAATAAAGATAGTAAACTGACACCCATAGCCCTTTAAGTCTAAGAAATTAAGGGGCATAAAGAGAGTGCAGGGGAAGAAATGCTATGATAATATATAGCTATATCTTTTTCCACATGTGTGAAATTTAATTTCAATTTGTTCCCACTATTTTAAAAGTATTGGCCCCTGAATAAGAGCCCAGAGATAAATGAAACAGAATTGTAGACAGTGAGAAATCAGGAGCATGAGCAGTTGTGGAGAGAGATGGGAACTGAGAAATAGGAAGAGATATTGAAAGAAAAGAGTTGTCCTCTCATACTGCTTGCCTGTGATTAAAAGTCACACACAGTTTCCAAATTGTGGAGTTGTGAGTTTGAAGTATTTTAACAAACAACAGAGGAGTTATTAAGTGTAAAAATATGTCTGCTGGGTTTCTCTTCCTATTACAAACAAACTAGAAAACATCTTTTTTCTTACAGCTGTGGCTACAACATTATCAGGTTTATCATAATTTACGGAAAAATTATGTCTGTGGCACTTTGTGAAAATCTAGTGCAGCAATACAGCTAGCGCGGCATATTTTAGCCAATAGGAGTGATTACTTTTCACATACATATTCGAACAGTGGACTTAAGTTTTGCTTAAACTGAACACAAACTGTTTACCTGGTGATTACTCTTCATGGACATCTTCTCTCAAGCTTTGAGCCAAATTTTAAAGCATTCTTCTTAACTCACTCCTCTCAACATTTTGCTTTTGCATATTGCCTGACAATGGTACTGAGAAAAACTGGTAGCATAATACTGTAACATAATATATTTGGTAACAGGTTCCACATAAGAAATATATGTGAGGTGGGAAGTGATAACCTTGCTGCTGAGCCAAGAACTGAGCATCAGGTTCCACTGCATTGAAGTTTGTTAGCTTTTCTTCTCCACCTCCACTACTTATCTTCTTGGAAATCTCCAGCATGGTGAGTTCGTTATAAGCTCATTAAGACTTGTTGTTCTCCTTTGCAGTGGGTGCAAAATATGCTTTATTGTTTATTTATTTGTTTGTTTGTTTGTTTGTTTGCAGTAGACCTTGAAGTCCTCTTCTACTTGTTCATGACAAGGTATAGTTCTGATGACTGAATCTTAAGATTCATGTCAACTTCCACTTTAGAGGCATAGCACCAGCCACTTATAATGCTGTTTACATTTATTCCATTTACATAATCCTACTGAAACCAGAATGAGATGAACAGATAATTTTTTTCATCTGAAAAAATCTGACACACTGTAAGATCATCATGTTTCAGAAATAATATTTGCATAGAGGTCATAAAATATCTATAATAAACCATACTATTTCCTTACAAATTTGCCAGATTCTACACACAACACCCCTCCATAATAAAGAAGTATTTTCAATAACCTGCAGAAGAACCTCAACACAGAGGTGACTAAAGGATATAGAGTAAATTAGTATAGAATCATAGAATCATAGAATGGTTAGGGCTGGAAGGGACCTTCAAAGGTCATCTAGTCCAACCCCCCTGCAAGGAAAAGGGATATCTCCAACTAGATTAGGTTGCTCAGGGCCTCATCCAACCTGGCCTTGAACGTCTCCAGGGATGGAGCATCCACCACCTCTCTGGGCAACCTGTTCCAGTGTTCTACAACTCTCATGGTAAAAAATTTTTTCCTAATATCCAACCTAAATCTACCTCCCTCTATTTTAAAACCATTACCCCTTGTCCTATCACAACTGGCCCTCCTGAACAGCCTCTCCTCATCTTTCTTGTAGGCCCCCTTGAGGTACTGGAAGACCGTATTTGTTTTTTTATATAGGGTTGTGGAAATTATTCGTATATAACTATAGCATATGACATGCAGAAATATTTCTTTTGCTTTTGTAAAAACTTTGTTAAATTTTAGCTCTTCTCCGTATTGCTTAATCTGGGCTTGTGAAACCTTGTAACAATGTACTGTGGTATTGTCTGTAATGATGATTTTTTTCATTATCTTATTGTTAAGAAGTAGATGATTTCCACATTATTCTGTAACTAGACTAGGCAGCAAAGTGTTCTGTGTTATAATTGAGCCAATTGATTGAAGAAATGAAATTTTTTAAAAGTCTCAAGTCTAATTTTATAAATTTGGACCAGCTTATTCTTTGATACATTTATCGTCTTCTACTTTTAATTAAATGCAGTACATGAACAATCTCAGTGATCTATTTCAAAATACTCCTAAACCAAGCAAATATTCTTATGGAACACAGATTAGAAAAAGATAGATTACCTAAATGTCTTTTAATTTTTCAACACATATATTGGTATAATAAGGGGATAAAGTAAGCAGCTGTTTTATCTTTCTACAATGTTGCATAAAAAACATTTACTTGCTTTTTCTTAATAATATCTTACTCATTTGCTACTCCTTCCATTTTTTTATGCTAGACTGTCAGTCCCAAGTTCCCTAATACTGCTGGAGGACACAGATAAAATCTTCAGTGGTTCAAGGAGGGAAAACATCATAGAATACAAAATGACCTTCAGATGGTCTGCCTGTCAGCCACCAAAGCAGTGGCAGATTGAGCTTTACATACAGCCCAAGAGCAGAAATAAACTCACATGTCTGTGACTAGTAGAGAATTCCTTGCTTGAAATGCAATTTACTACAGATTATTAGCAGAGCTACTCTCTAAAAATTTCTCTTTTTATCTCCTGCAGTTGCAGACTGTTAAGCAAAACAAGGCTGAGGAGTAAGTATGATCCTTGGAACACTGACTGTTTACACTGCTAAATCTTAGCATTCTCCTTGGTATTTTGTTGGTCGGGGCCAACTAGGACTCTCTCACATAACAGCCAACCACAATCAGAGCTAACGATATGCACCAGGAACCCTTCCCAGTAGGCAATATGGACAAGAGTGCACCAAGTTTGTGTCATCCTACTTACACAGTGCTTTAACATTATTCTAACAGCCTGCGGATCCTTAGGCATCACTAAACAGCCTCATGCTACACACTCTGCAGCACATAACTTCCTTTTGCGCCATAACACTGCTCTGCTGGGCTGCAATACAACTTTCACACTATTTTGTAAACTCAGAAGAGAAAAAAAAATATAACAGTGAAATCTGAGCTCCGTTGGGTACTACACAGGGTCCAGAGGAGGTACAAGGCCAAGTGCTACGTAATGTACATAGCCTGTGTTATTGAGCTTCTTTGCAAGAGAACAGTCACAGTCCTGTTTTTCATTGTGGATTGTTGTTCTTATTTGTTTTTTCCCTCAGCATCAGTACTGCCACAATAAACTAAAGTCTGAGTGGTCACCTAGAAATCCCACTGAAGTCATTAGAAAAGTGCAACACTCCTATATGCGCCTTCTAGCACATGTACTTATCAACAGAAAGAGAAAGCAATTTCAAAGAAGTGACAGTTCGAAGTTAAAACAAATGAGAAGATGACAATTACATAACAAAGTTATCCAGAAATAAAACTTTGAATAGCTAAGGATATGTTCAAGGACTCAGCTTGAAATGTAATACCCTATTGGTAGGAAGTGACATTATGTTCATAAGCTAAGCATTAATATTAACACCTGTCATGTCTCTCATCCCAAAAGAAAAAATTCTCAGATCTTACACTGCTAAATCCAAAAAGTGGCAGCAAGTGTTATTACCAAGGGTAAGAACAGCCTTTCATTTCTGCTTAATATTCTACTCTTTTTCTGTTATGGTGTCTACAAGCCCCAAACACTTCAGTTCAGCTACCTTGTCCAAATAAGTAAGAAAATCTTACAAAACTTTGTCCATGTGAATTTTCCTGGGCCTACACCCAAAGAAGGCTCAGTATTCAAATCTAAGCAGGAAAGCTTAACCTCCTCCTTCTATCCTCTGGCATAAATCTAAAAGAGTGAATGATCCAGTATCATTATATAGCTACAGAAGCAGCGGTGAAAATGCAGGCTGAAAAGAAAGGCATCAGAGACCAAATACAGTTAAGAAAAACTGAGGATTCCTGAGCAGGAATCTAGCTGTAATTAAAGGATTTAAGCACAGAAGGCTATTGGCAAAGATATAAAGAAAAGAGCATTGAGATGTAAGCATGTATGCTATAAGGATAACTGTAGACAGATGGGGGAAAAATTGTAAGGACAACAAATAAAAACTGTGAGAAAAATAAAAAGAAAAGAACAAAATGACAAAACGGACAAACTGGACAATTCAAATGTTACCTATAATTAAACCGTGC